GAAGTTTTTTTTCTGCTCTTAAATGCAAAATAACCGCCCTGTGATAATCGAAGTCTTCAGGGGGAAAATAAAAATGTGTTATTGGTATGAAAGGTTGTTTATTTGCAGACATACACCGTGGACATCTTTTCGGCTGGCTGTGTCTTCTATTACGTGGTGTCTGAAGGCAGCCATCCCTTTGGCAAATCTCTGCAGCGGCAAGCCAACATCCTGCTGGGTGCATACAGCCTGGATTCCTTAAACGCAGGGAGGCATGGTAAGAAAAGTCTAAACATAAAGCAGCACAGAGTTTAGTGAACTTCCCAGGGGTGTTACAGTGCCAGCAGAAGTCATCCTGATCGATCCTGACTCAACACTGCATCATCTTGATTCAACACTGCAGCCTTTCTGGTGGTTGCTCAGCAAGTCTGTGAGGGTGGTGCTTGAGCGAGTGGGGCTGGTGTTCAGGATTTGGTTGGAGGAAGTAGAACGTAATGGTTTTCTAAAGTACAAAACATTAGATTTCCCTCCAGCCTAAGAATTATCACCCTTTTCCTTGCAGAAGACATAGTTGCTCGTGATTTAATAGAGCAAATGATAAACATGGACCCTCAGAAACGTCCATCTGCCAGCTGTGTGCTAAAACACCCCTTCTTCTGGAGTTTAGAAAAACAGCTCCAGTTTTTTCAGGTTTGTGTTGACCTTTTCTAACCTTTCAGTTTAGCACTCCTGTAGACATTCTTCAAATCTTGAAGTCAGTCTCTCCCTAGTTTTGTGGATGTTTGAGGTGGTAGGATCCACAACTTTACTGTGAGGAATGAAGAAGCAATTGTTAATACCCAGGTGATAGCTCTTAGGAAACTGGCGTTGTTTTACAGAAGGTCTTTTCCAGCAGGGCTAGAACATGGTGTTACCAACCTCCTTTGGAGTGAGCAGGGTCTCTGGCAGCTGCAGTAGTGATGCAGAACAACCTGCCAGGCAGGTTTTCAAGAACAGGGTAGCTGAGCACGTGAGATTCTTTAGAGCCTCATCTCCTACTCTGGGATAAAAAGACTTTGGCTACTTATCATCTCGGAAACTTCTCATTCCCAGTCCCGAATAATGTCTTGTATTGCACATCAACATGGAACAAAGTAGAACCGTAACTCCGTTGTCAGGACAGGCTGTAATTGGCTAGAAGCAGCAATTTTAAATTGTTGGGGAAAGCTCAGAAATAAAACTAGAAATAACCTGAATATCTCTTGTCTCTTCTAGGATGTTAGTGACCGGATAGAGAAGGAATCTTTAGACGGTCCAATAGTCAAGCAGTTAGAAAGAGGTGGAAGAGAGGTGGTCAAAATGGACTGGAGAGAGCACATCACTGTTCCTCTTCAGACAGGTAATGGATAGCGTTTTATCAGAGCGGAAAGGAAGTACATGCTGTTCCCAGTTTGCTGGGACAGGAAGGTAAGGGTAACACTGTCTAAGTTTTGGCAGGTGACCTCTACTTGTCAGCAAAGCGTTTCCTCAACGTAAATGACGTGTTTATATTGAAACACACCTCTAAGGATACGTGACTCAGCACACAGACCCTACTTTTGAGACCAGCAACTAAAGGTGTGTCAAAACACAAAAAGAAATGTTTTAATTTCTTTTGCAGATCTTCGAAAATTCAGATCCTATAAAGGAGGCTCAGTACGGGATCTTCTGAGGGCAATGAGAAATAAGGTAAAGAACTTATTTGCGTGAGCAACACACACACTTCTGCTTCTGCCTCCTGTTGCTGACGGTGGCCAGTCTGTCTGTCTTGCCTTGGTTTAGGCATTGAGCTGCTTTACCACAGCCTAATAGGAGGTTACTTTGTCGCTGAACAAGACAGCTCTGGTTAGAAGAGGATCCTTGACCACTGAGCTTTTCCCTGTTCTTCTCTCCATGACAGAAGCACCATTACAGAGAACTGCCTCCCGAAGTGCAGGAGACCCTGGGCTCCATCCCAGATGATTTTGTGTGTTACTTCACAGCTCGTTTCCCTCACCTGCTCCTACACACCTACAAGGCTATGCACATCTGCTGCCACGAAAGACTGTTCCAGCATTATTATCATGAGGACACTGGAGAGCTGAGCCTCGCAGGAGATGCTGTTTGAGAGGAGAGGGGGGAAGCTTTCTTCTCTGGGACCAATAATCCAAGCACAGGGCTGTGAAACAGGCCTACCGTTAGCAGGGAAAAGTGGGATCAAAGAGCTGAAGTCTCTCTCTCTTTGAAGAAACCAAGCTTCCAAAAAGTGCCTTGTACCTCTGCCTGTGCTGAAGCGGGGATGGTGGGAGCCCACGGAGGGAGCAGTAACTTGAGAAAAGCAACGAACCCTGGTGATAGAGTTATTCCAAGTTTTTCAAGACAGTAAAACTAGAGAACAAAAGCTGGATATAACCGTCACCCAATATCCCTGTACTGTATGTGATTTTATAAATGATGTCTTTTACTACAAAGAATCAAAATACAGTGATTGAAATATAATTACTAGGGCCTGGGGGCTGCAAAAGGAACGTTTTAGCTGTAGCAAATCGTCAGAGCCTGCCATTGCACTACTGCCACGTGAGGCATTAAGGACACCCCAGTGATTGTAAAGAGAATCAGTGGCGATTGTCTGCGAAACAGTAAAGAGTATAATTTCTGTTCATTCAGTACTGCCCTGAAAAAATCAATCCCTCATACCTGAGCAGATACAGTGAAGTTCCAAAAAGACACTGACTTGAAAAAAAAACAGTGAAAGGTTTCCCTGCTTCGAAAATATGCCTCTGTTTAAATATCAACCAGTATTGACAGAAAAGCTTGAACAGTCCTTGACTTCAGTCGTAGTATCAGAATCGGTCAGCACGAGTAACTTGAGGAAAACACACCAGTGTAGCTGTGAGCTGCTTGCGAGAGGCTAATCCTTTCCCTGCTGCAAGTGTTGCTCACTGTCTTATAAGGAGGAGCAGAGCCAGAGGTAAGATTAGGCCTGGGGAAAAAAGGAGCTCAATAGGAAACAATAAGAGGTGCAGACCAGTGAATTTAGAGGCAGTGTTTTTTAATGGGTGCGATAAAGCTCTAAAGGAGCCCCCTTTTCTATTTGTGTGGGTTTCTAGTTACACCCAAGTGTGCCCGTGTTTTTAAAGATGCAGTATTTCTTTTCGCTGGCCCTCAAGCTGTGACAAAGCATTAAGTGTGTGCGAAGGATGAAGAAATGCTAAATTGTAATAAAAGGGGGTTATTCTTTTACAATATATTTATTTAACATATTTATATTTATTTAATTTTTACTACAACATGGTATCAAATCCAAGTGGTACAAGTATAAAGCATGCCAAATTGTTCTTAATTGGTTTTGTCTGTATATTTAATCATACTTTTAACAACTGGAAGAGAAAGCGATACTGCATCTTTCACTTGAAATCATTAAAGGAGGAAATGCAAAGTAAGACTTCGTATGACTGTGCCATTGTGTCTTAAACTAATAAATTATTGACAGTAATGTGTATGATTGGGTATGTATAGCTACTTTTCCGGAGCGATTTTGTGGGAAGTTTGTTGGTTTGTTTTTTCTTTCTTAGTTTTACAGTGTATGAGAGCAATTTACCTTAGATGCTAACTGTGCAAGTTACCTTTCTAAAGCTTGAAAAAAAAAATATATGGTAGTTTTACCTAAGAAGATTCAAAGCATATTTCATATTTTTGTATTTTTCATGTGAAGTTCTTTTATAAGTCTATGAAATAAAGACTTGTACTCAGATTAAAAGAAAAAAAAACCTCACAGCGTTTAGTGACAATGTGTGCCTGGGGAAATAACCTGGACGAACAGCTGCCAGCCCCAGGGGTGGGGAGCAGGGGACAAGAGGAACACGCCTGCAGCTGGGCAGGACCTGCTCACAACCGCTGTCTTCCTGCTAGTCAAAGGTACGAACCCATTTCATTGCTGTCCAACATAGAGCCGCCCATAAGTAATTTTTGAGTTTGTGAAAATTGCTAAATGACCACGTGGTTTACAGGAAGAAACTCTCTATTTTGCAAAGGCAGCACCACCCAGAAACAGCCCTGCTGAGAAGGGGGTGGAGACTTGGTCATCAAAAATATTTATCTGAGGCAGTTGCCCTTTTTCTTGCTGGACGGCAGTAGGACCATTCGGAAGGCCAGCAGAGGAGCTCTGCAGAAAGACCCTGGGACAGCACCTGGCCCCACAGCAGCTTGGAGCACCTTCGCACCCTTGCTCAGCTCCCTCGGGGACACATCCCTCGCAGCCAGGATCTGGCAGCACCAGACAGTTCAGCTCCCTACAGGCTCTGCAAGGTAAGCCCCCGCCTCGGGCCCTGCAGGGGCAATTGGGGTGGGAGTGTTGATTAGTCGCCATCTGACAAGTTACGTTACCAGCAGCTGGCCTAAGAAAAGCGAGGATCTTCCAACGCGACACTTTTCCCCTTCTCCCCCCGGAAAAAGGCTGCCCAGAAGTGCAGGAGGGCCAATCTGAGCAGGGGGAGCGGGGAACAGGGTTACCTCTGCCCACAGCTACAGCCCTTTCCTGCCCCCCCCAGCTGACGGTACCCGGGCTCACGGGAGCACATGCAGGCTGCAAGGACCAACACCCTGCGATTGCTCTTAGGAACAGGTGGGAGCAGGAGCCCGCAGGCCCCCTTCAGCTGAGGCTCTGTAGCCCCCAGAGATGTCAGCCCGCCATCGCTGCCCAGCCTCCACCGTTGTTAAGTTTCGGTTTCTTGAGCCTGACGTCTGTCACCGCGGGCTCTGGCAGAGGATAAGCAGAAGTAGGGGCAGGGAAGGAAGGTGGGGGTGGCCAAGTCAGACACCCTGGGACATGGTGTGGTGGTCAAAGGCACAGGCAATCCAGTATTTCAAGGGCAATTTTAGCCCCATTTCTCAGGGGAGGCTGCACCAGATACCAGCAGTTATCAGTCTGCAGCCATTTTTTTTTCATAGCCAGCCTGCTTGCACTTGCTCCGGAGGGATCTGCTTACCCCTAGGGCACGTCAGCCCTGTCCTGGACCAGGCTCCCCTTAGAGCCGCTCACTTAAACCAAAGCTGTTGGCTGTGCTTTCTACAGCAGTGGCCCTGCAGGTGCTTAAATGGCAAATATGCATTTGTAGCACATAGTTTTTTCCTACTTCCCCAGTCTCCTAAACCCAGGATCTCCCCAAGCGCTGCCTTCTGTTGACCTCACCTCTTGCCAAGCTGTGCTCTTTGATTTTTCTCAGTTACAACTTCTGTAGTTTCAGATATTGTTGGGAGCTTGTGCAGAGCCCCACAACTGCCTTTTATGCTGGCTGCACCGCTGACTGCTCCTTTTACACTGCAATTCCGAGGTAGTGAGCGTGGCTGTTGCATGACCCTGAGCTGCAGGGATGGCGCTGGCTGGGCTGTGACCACATGCTGAACCAACACAGAGCTGAGCTTTCACACCACAGTAAGAGAAGCCACCACCATCGGGCCCCTTTCCCTGTGCTATTTGTTAACTAGGCCATATAGTCTGTGGGTGCTTACTGCTGACTGTGAGTCTAGCATACACCTGTGGGTATTATTCTGAGCAGGCTTGTTTAATATTTCCTCCTGCAGTACAGAGCTGGCTGGGCCTGTTTCTGCTCACATTTGTACCTTGGAAATGGAGCCTGAGCAAAGCAGAGGATGTCAGGCAGCAGGCCAGGACACCCCACTAACAAGAATATCTTCTGTTGGGTTGGGCAGTGAGTTGAACTGCTTCAGGAAAAATCCTGTGACCACCACAACAGATCTGGCAGAAAGGGAGAAGGGGGAGAGAGCGCGTACCTGCAAAAAAAATCAAAAGGGGAGGGAAAAAAGGGAGTGTGAGGGAAGAAGAGGCAGGAAAAAGGGGACAATGAGTGAGAGAAAGAGAGCAATAAAAAGCAAGAGGCACTGTGTAACCTATGGAGATGCTAGTGTTGGGCCTCCTTGTTCCTGGTACATAACAGCAGTAGCTGTTAGATGGGCAGAGCTGTCAGGACCCGCTTCCCCAGCAGAACCTCATCTCCTTCACACCCACATCTCAGGAGCGAGACCAGCTGCATGACTGCACTGCAGCTGGCAGGACTGAGTTCTCAGGGTACAGAAACTACCCTGGACCAAAAAGGTGGGGAGGAGGTTGGGAAAAGAGAGTAAGTCTGGTTTAACACAGGAATGGTAACTGTAAATCTGAAGACAGTTCTTTCTTTCCCCACTCTAGGGTTTTGTTCACGTTAACAGCAGGATTTCCCTCATTAAAGGCAATGGGTAGGTGTTGCTTTCAGAAAATTTGCACTTTATATGTAGCAATTTGCTTTTCATATCTGCATTTTAAGGGTTCATCTCTAGTGGGGAACTAACCAGTACAGCTGACATCATCTTATGCTTTGCATTGCTGCTTTCGTCACTTGGCAGAAAATACAGACTAATGTGAGTAAATGACCCACCCAAACCTTTGTAGTTTATAGAGAATTCAGCCCCTATCCGTTCCAATAACCTTATCACATCATTCCCTTCAAAAAACTTTTATGGGTTATTTCCCCAAACTCCCATCGAGGATCATTTCCAAACCTTCGTGGTTTCCTGCTGTTGCTTGTGACTGCTTTTGATTAAGGTTAAAGATGCTTTTAGTCATCAGAACTGACATACGTGAAAAGTGAAGAGCCTCTCACTGGGACTGGTAGAAAGAAAACAGCCTGGCATTCACCATGGCCAGTTCTGCAAGGTTTAGAATGTCCTGTCAAGCATGTCGCTGTGTTTTTAATTTGCATTACTAATACATAACTTTAAACGCTAGATTACAGAATGTTACCTGTAAATAAATGGGATGAGAACCATGTCCGATGCTGGCTAGAATCCACTGGAATCAAGAAAGAGTACGTAGACAAACTGTATCTGGAAGAAGTGACAGGTCCAGCACTAGTGGAACTGGATGACTCTTTCCTCAGAGGCATAGGTATGAAGGGAGGGCAAATCCATGTGTTAATCCGCAAGAGAAATGAACTTCTGCAGCTACAGGAAAACACACAGGAAGCCAAGCCTTCCACCAGCACAACGCCCGACAGAACTGTTGCGCAAACGGATCCAGGAACACCCAGAAATGCCTCTGCTCAAAAAAACTCAAGTGGAGAGAGCTGTGGT